TCTCTACCCCGCGATGCTCTTGCCTCTCGACTCGGCCTTCAAATGCTCCGAATCTATTCACAATCAGTACAATACCATCAATATACGCTAATGGAATGAATTTCACAAGAAAAACTACTAATTTAGACCAAAAACCCGAAATTGGCTCAAACCCGGCCCCCGGACCCAAACTCGTAATCGGGTAAAAGTCACAAATTACGAATACCCATTCACTCACGAGTCCAACCATGCTAGTTTTACACAAATCCGACTTCGAATCGACATTCAAATCCCCAAAATTCATTTTATGAAGTTTCTACAATTTTTCCCAAATTTCCACCTCAAAGTACTAATCAGATGATGAAGTCATTGATATATTCATGTATATTAATCAAATTCGGGTTAGAATCACTGACCCCGATGAATTTCTTGAAAAACCCACGAACAATCGCCTCAAATCGAGCTCCCTAGATCCAAAATGTGAAATAATACCCTAAAACCCGTTTATATAGTGCACCTCTGATATCCCACTTCACGGTCCGCAAAATTTTGAGCGCGACGGCGCCCCGGGTCCTGGTGCGGTCCGCGAAATTCTTGGGGCTGCACTGCCATGCTTTAGTATTTTGGCCATAACTTTCTCTATAGATTTCCAAATGATGACTTCTTTACCTTTCTGGAAACTAGACACGAAGGGAAATTCCTTGTAGATCAAAAGATATAGGCTTCCGAAGTCGGACCAGCGGGTCTGCAGAACATCCAAATGCAGCCGCGAAATTCTGCCACGGTCCGCGAAATTCTGCCGCGGTCCGCGAAATTCTGCCGCGGTCCGCGAAATTCTGCCGCGGTCCGCGAAATTCTGCCGCGGTCCGCGAAATTCTGCCGCGGTCCGCGAAATTCTGCCGCGGTCCGCGAAATTCTGCCGCGGTCCGCGAAATTCTGCCGCGGTCCGCGAAATTCTGCCGCGGTCCGCGAAATTCTGCCGCGGTCCGCGAAATTCTGCCGCGGTCCGCGAAATTCTGCCGCGGTCCGCGAAATTCTGCCGCGGTCCGCGAAATTCTGCCGCGGTCCGCGAAATTCTGCCGCGGTCCGCGAAATTCTGCCGCGGTCCGCGAAATTCTGCCGCGGTCCGCGAAATTCTGCCGCGGTCCGCGAAATTCTGCCGCGGTCCGCGAAATTCTGCCGCGGTCCGCGAAATTCTGCCGCGGTCCGCGAAATTCTGCCGCGGTCCGCGAAATTCTGCCGCGGTCCGCGAAATTCTGCCGCGGTCCGCGAAATTCTGCCGCGGTCCGCGAAATTCCAAGCACCAGAACCATACCTGAGTTTCGGAAATGCCCGGACTCGCTCAAAACTCACCCGAGGCCCCCGGGACCTCAACCAAACATACCAACCAATCCTAAAACACCATACGAACTTAGTCGAACCTTCGAATCACTCAAAACAACATCAAAACACCAATTTACCCTCAGATTCAAGCCTAAAAACTTATAAATTTTCAAAATCGACAACTGATGCCGAAACCAACCAAACCACGTCCGAATGACCTCAAATTTTACACACACGTCATAAAATGACACTACAAACCTACTCCAATTTCCAAAATTCTATTCCGAACCCTATATCAAATTTTCCACTGGCGACCAAAATTGTCAAATTTCCAACTTTTGCCAATTCAAGCCTAATTCCACTACGGATCTCAAAACACATTCTGGACGCGCTCCTAAGTCCAAAATCACCTAACGGAGCTAACGAAATTATCAAAAATTCAAATTTGAGATCGTTTGCATATAAGTCAACATCCGGTTGACTTTTCCAACTTAAGTTTCTACTTTAGAGACTAAGTGTCTCAGTTCACTTCGAATTTTCTTCGGACCCAAACCAACTAACCAGATAAGTCATAAATCAACTGTATGGCATAAATGGAGCAGTAAATGAGGGAAGGGGGATGTGATACTCAAAACGACCGGTCGGGTCGTTACACCCCCACTCCCTCTATTTCTTCCCAAAAATCCTTCCTTCCCTTCAAAGTGTTGTCCCCCATGATAAAAAAAAAATCAAAAAAATCTTTTGCTATGTGCTTGTGTGCATGTGTGGGGACAAGTTAGTTGGGATAAGAATCCCAAGAAGGAGATGCAACGTTCCATTTTTGCTTTCATTTTTTTTTTGATTTTATCTTTTTCCATTTTATGAAAAGTAATAGGTCGGACTCGAGACATGGAAATAAAGGACTGAAGATCGGCCCCAAGCCACACCGGGTTAGCAACCGGGATCAAACACCTGCCTTTGATAACACTGAGGCCGTGACTCCGTAATCGTTCCTTGTTCAAACGACCTCGAAGAAACATTATTAGCATAACAGATGACCGAAATATCTGTGACCGGTCGGATATTACGGCGGGAATCTCGGCATGTATCAATAAGGAACCGACAAACAGTAAATCAAGAGATTTTTTTACCTTTTATAGAGTTGTAACTAATGTAGGACTCCCCTACTATATAAAAGGGGTCTAGTTACTTGTAAAAGGGATGGTAACACGTATTCCAAATAAATACATTATTATTCTCTTTAATCTCTTATTTTTTTGTGTCTTGATACCGATCGAAGTACGTCCGGCTCAAGGGCGATTAACCTTCCAAGGTTGAGACTGTTCAATTCGTGTGGCTTGCATTTACTTTATCATTATTTATTTCAATTGCAATCTAATTTATCATTTTGTGTCAAGTTAATCCGCGTATCCTTAAAACCACTTACAAATTTAATTGTTATCCGATTTTGATGGTAAACAATGTGTCACAACATAACATATAATGGAGAACAAAAGGGTCAGTTTTATTATATACAATTTATAAATTTGCTTGGGCACGATCATAATTTACATGCTAATAATTAATTTAGAAATTATCCTTCTTTTCTACGAGAAAAATATATTTATAAATAGTATAAATAGGTTAATTAATAAGATTTCCATGTCTCTATTTTTTTCCAGCACAACACGACTCATTCGAGACCTTACCAATGAGCTTTAGAAGAAAAAACCTTGTAGAAATCGGTGTAGAAAGAGGGTTGATTTCAAGGAGAGAAAGAAGAAAATCCTTTAGAAAGATTGGGGTTTATGTGGATAATTAAGAAATTGTGAGGATTTTTAGGGATTTACTAAATTAAAAGGCTACAATCAAGGGATACTCGTTTAAAACTAATTTGTATATAATTGGTAAATTGTATATGACCACGTAACTAAGTTAAAACTTGATTAGGAATGGTAATTAAGTAAAAATTTCTAAATTAAATAGTATAATTAGGTTAAATAATAAAATTTCCATGTATGTGTTTTTTGGAAAATTTACCTAGTTATACTATAATAGAAACTTATTTACCACTTTTCTTTAGGTTTCTTAAAAATTATATTCTCTATCTATATTTACTATTTATATACAAAACCTTAATAAAGAGAGCATCCTTAAAACTAGGATAACTAATACATCCCTTCCCTCTCCTCTCCCCCACGTCAGCCCCCTCCCTCTCACTCTCATGTATATGAGTTATACAAAGACCCTAAATAATGCTTTCATCCCATTTTCAAAAAAAATTTGAAATATTTCTCTCTTTCATTCAAATTAATCCAAATCCCATCCTCTTCACATAAATTCATCGACATTATCTCTAAAATTGCAGTAGCAAAGAGTTCTACATTGACAACCATTAAAAAAATTCGAAGTTTTGAATTCAACATTTGGGTTTTACGAATTTGTGATTTGTTCTCATCCTCTTCACACAAATTCATCGACATTATCTCTAAAATTGCAGTAGCAAAGAGTTCTCCACTGACAACTATTAAAAAACTTTGAATCTTTGAATTCAACATTTGGGTTTTACGAATTTGTGATTTGTTCTCATCCTCTTCACACAAATTCATCGACATTATCTCTAAAATTGCAGTAGCAAAGAGTTCTCCACTGACAACTATTAAAAAACTTTGAATCTTTGAATTCAACATTTGGATTTTACGAATTTGTGATTTGTTTGGATTGGGTACTCTTGCAAACGATTGAGAATATAACTTGGAGTTTATATCTCAATTTTGAGGGAGATTGGTTAAGTTTAGAGTTATTTTTAGGTAAAATTTCATATTGAAACTCGAAGAAGAAAAGTTTCTGAATTGTATCATGATTGTATGATAATTGTATCATAATTATTTCTAGTTGTATCACAATTATATCAAAGTTGTATTTGACTTGTATCTGATATATCAGTATCTAAATTAATACCTAATACAATACTAATACAATTATATTACAATATTGTATCAGAATTTAAGTTTAGAGTTGTGATTGAAACTTGAAAAAGATGAAGATCAGTAAAAAGATGAAGATCAGAATTGTATCACGATTGTATCATAATTGTTGCAGAAATTATATTATAAATGTATGATAATTGTATATGGTGATGAGCAATTGTAAGTTTGTGACCAATTTCACATTTGGATTGTGTATGAGTCATTATCCTATTAGTAATAATTTTGCTAGAGTTTAACAATTTTTGAATTGTTAAAGAAACTTTTAGCAACTGTTTTTTTTTTTGTCATCTCATGATATTCTATGCCGTGTGTATAGATTTCTAAGTATAACTTGTTAGATTAAGTATCACTTTCCTAACATTATATGGATAATAGGAACATAGAATATGTAGTATGGCATTATATCCAGTATTTGAAGGTTCCAACCAAAATCATTTAACAACTGAAGTAAAATTACTAGCTTCTTGTTGAAGACATGCAACTATCGAAGAGAGAGAAGAGGAGATTTGCGCATTAAAAAAATTAGGACACATGAAATGAGGAGAAGTGTGAAAAGAGGAAATGATATAATTGAATTCTTTAATTGAAGTTATTAATGAGAGGACTAGAGTAAGAGTTTTTTTTAAGAGAAATGTATAAAATTTATAAGAAAAATATATATACTTTTTGAAAACTGCAAAACAGAAAATAAATTAATAAGTTCATGTGAAAAACTCCCGTGTTTTTTCCCAGTACAACACGACCCATTCGACAACTTACCAATAAGAGTCAGTCCAGTAGTCCACAACCCATCTTCAGCTTCTACTTGCAGCATGAACAAGAAGATTGACCAAATAAAAAGCTTCAAAGGAGGCAAAAGGACTAATATAAATTAGTACATAGCAGTGAAATTGAAGGTAATTCGTTTGCCAGGGAAATCAATTCTCAAAATTTCCCCAAAATTTTGGTCAACTTAGTTTTTTCCTCATTCAGGGCTTCCATAAAGGAATTTCCAGTATAGAGATCATTGTTTTGTAGGTGGTCTGACACTGTATGATAATCATATTTTCTGCAGTTCCACCACATGGATGATCATCAGGAAATGGAAAGGTTTGGGATGGAGAACGATTTTGAAGATGGTCAGTGGATCGGTGGCGAGTTCTACTACCGGAAGCGCAAAGAAAAGAAGCATGTTCAAACCAAAGATGATGTCCTCTATGGTGTTTTTGCTTCCGACGATAGTGACTCTGACTACGAGGGATCCTCCAAGAAGCGGAAAAAAGGCCTTTCCACGAAGGCTGACCTCACCAAACCTGTCAACTTTGTTTCAACTGGAACTGTCATGCCCGACCAAGAAATAGATCGCAATTTCAAAGAGGAGAAGAACCAGAAAATGTCCGAAGAGAGCAAAGGTTTGGGATCTGGAGCATCTGTTGGCCTTGGATTTGGTACTAGTTCCTCGAAGAATATTGCTGCTGATGAATACACCAAAACACAGGCCCAGGTTGAAATTGAAGAGGAAAACTTTCTGCCCACTGCTTTTGGGAGGAAGATTAAAGAAGGTGCCCTAAGACGTGAGAAGGAAAGGGAAAAGGAGAAGTCTATGTTGGCCAAGAAATCTTCTGAATCAGGGAGAAGGGAACCTGGTGGTGATGTTGGTGGCTTTGAGAAGCATACCAAGGGGATTGGGATGAAGTTGCTTGAGAAGATGGGTTATAAGGGAGGTGGGTTGGGAAAAAATGAGCAAGGAATTTTGGCTCCGGTCGAGGCAAAGCTTAGGCCCAAGAATATGGGAATGGGCTTCAACGACTATAAGGAGACTAGTGCACCAACTCTTCAAGAATCAGAGGGAAAGCCTGTTGCTCGTCCTGCTCAACCTGTGGAAGGCCACTCAAAAGAGAAGCTTTGGTCAAAGCAAGCTAAAAAACTGAAGAAGGTTTACATTACAGCTGAAGAGTTGTTAGCCAAAAAGCAGGAGCAGGGCCTGGAAGTTGTTCAGAAGGTCTTTGATATGAGGGGTCCACAGGTTCGAGTCTTGACGAATCTGGAGAACTTGAACGCTGAAGATAAAGCAAGGGAAAATGATGTTCCAATGCCTGAACTTCAGCATAATATTAGGTTGATTGTGGATTTGGCGGAACTNCCTTGATCAGTTCTATTGGGTCCGTACTTGGGCTACTGCTATTCCCATCCATCACATGCTTCCAATACTGGATATATTCTTCAACAAGTGGGAAGTAGTTTTGTATCACTGGTTATGCTCAAAAAACCCGAACTTTGAAGAAGTGACAAAATGGTATTTGGGTTGGAAGGTACTCATTCCACCTGAACTTCTGGCAAATGAACACGTTCGCTATCGACTTAATGTCGGTCTAGACATGATGAACCAGGCTGTTGAAGGTTCAGAGGTGGCTGAACCTGGTCTGAGGGAGAACATAAGTTATCTTAGGGTTCTTGAACAAAGGCAGTTTGAGACTCAGAAAAAAGCAGCAGCGCAATCTCAATCCCGTCCTTCTGTGGGCTCGAACAGTGGAATCCAAATGGACGGTACAGGTGGCGGGGATGAGATGAACTTGAAAAGAGTTATTGAAGTTTATGCACAACAGAATGATTTGTTGTTCCAGCTTAAGCCCGGGCGAATGCAAGATGGTCATCAGATATATGGTTTTGGTAAAATCAGCATTATTATAGATTCTCTCAATCAGAAGGTATTTGCACAAGTAGAGGACAGGTGGTCTTTGGTGTCACTTGAGCAGCTGTTGGACCTGCAAAAGTCAAAGAGCCGATAAGCGTCTTAAGTTCTTGAATTTTACAGTACGAAAGGAAATCCAAGTTTTCTTAAACTAATGTGTAGGCTTCACGTACCTTTCTGCACTTGGATCTTCATTGTTCTGCAGCAGGTCATGGGAAGATGAAGTGCTTCTTTTCTCCCTAGTGGCATTTTACTGCTTCTTTAGTGAGATTTTAACTTGTAAGTTTCCTTCGTCCTACAATGGCATTTGGCAAAATCACTAGAAATGAGAGAGACGTGAGTGTCAGCCTTTCTGGCTCAGATAGCAGCCCTTCAAATTTTTTACATAGATTTCATATTGTATTTGTTCGTGAATTTCTTTTTATAGAAGCACTAGATGTTCAATATCTATTTAATTATATAAATGTTAATCCTAACTTAGTTCATCCTATCAACACTTAATGTTCAACCATATTATAACTGTTTCATAGATTTGTTTTGATCGGCCACTAATCTGTTTTATTCTGTGGGGGGCTAAAGGCGGGTTGATTTTGAAATAATGATGATCGAATGCAAAGGAGTTACCTAACACCTTTAAGTCTATCTGATGCAAACCAGAGAAGAAGGGTGCTTATTATGTGTGAATAGTTGATGCATGCGGGCTTGTACTGGTAAAAAAGAAAACAAAAAGAGAGAAACTAAGGAATGCATCAGAGGCTGTCGAGAAAATTCCATTCTTCAATTAGGACAGCTGCTCCTTAGACTTAGAGAAAGATTAATGGATTGAATTGAAAAATGAACTCCTTGCTCTAAGGGTTGACCTCTATATGTCGTTTACTTTATAGTGAAAGATCAAAGACAAGCTATTAAGGTGTAAAGATAGGAGATTCGCGAAAGATTAGAGTTTAAACCTCCGTACCCCCCCCCCCCCCCCCCCANATCTTAAGTTCTTGAATTTCTCAGTACGAAAGCAACTCCAAGTAATGTGTAGGCTTCACGTACCTTTCTGCACTGGGATCTTTCATTGTGCTGCAGCAAGTCATGAGAAGATGAAGTGCTTCTTTTCTCCCTAGTGGCATTTTACTGCTTCTTTAGTGAGATTTTAAGTTGTAAGTTTCCTTCGTCCTACATTGGCATTTGGCAAAATCACTAGAAATGAGAGAGACGTGAGTGTCAGTCTTTCTGGCTCAGATAGCAGCCCTTCAAATTTTTTACATAGATTTCATATTGTATTTATTCGTGAATTTCTTTATATAGAAGCACTACATGTTCAATATCTATTTAATTATATAAATGTTAATCCTAACTTAGATTTTCCTATCAACACTTAGTGTTCAGCCATATTATAATTGTTTCATAGATTTATTTTGATCGGCCACTAATCTGTTTTATTCTGTGGAGGCTAAAGGCGGGTTGATTTAGAAATAATGATGATTGAATGCAAAGGAGTTACCTAACTCCTTTTAAGTCTTATCTGATGCAAACCAGAGAAGAAGGGTGCTTATTATCTGTGAATAGTTGATGCATGCGGGCTTGTACTGGTAAAAAAGAAAACAAAAAGAGAGAAACTAAGGAATGCATCAGAGGCTGTCGAGAAAATTCCATTCTTCAATTAGGACAGCTGCTCCTTAGACTTAGAGAAAGATTAATGAATTGAATTGAAAAATGAACCCCTTGCTCTAAGAGTTGACCTCTATATGTCCATTACTTTATAGTGAAAGATCAAAGACAAGCTATTAAGGTGTAAAGATAGAAGATTTGCGAAAGATTAGAGTTTAAACCTCCGTATCCTCACCCCCCC